CATAGATTTTTGTAGGTCATATCTTTTTTCTGATTATATTCTGCGGTCTTATACTAAAAAAATACACAATTTATCCTCAATCCATTTTTGTTGTATAATCTTTACAGCTCAGATCTTTTTTGCTGTTTCTCAAATATGTTTAACTCTATTGATAAGATTCTCTATTCGTAATTCATATCGATAAATAGCTAACCTTATGTAAATATTGCTTTCTACTTCTGGTTTTTGTTTAAGCTCTATATACTCTTTGAAACATATATCACAATGTCTATTTCTAGTACAATTTGTACGCCAATGTTCCTCCATCTTATAATTGTGATATAATTCATATCCTACTCTTTTATCAACATAAACAAACTGATCACAGCTATAATATATAGCAATATTTACTTTAATCGCCATATGATAACTGAATCTTTTTGTAGATTCCATCTTTCTAGCAATAAGATATCGCTTATTGTAATTAGTCAATTTATTGTTATTTCTATAATTCACTAATTGATTCCAGATTCAGTTCTTCCAATTAGATAGTGTTTCTCCATTACAAATTACTGGAAATTGGCAGTTATCCCTCCACTCGATATCATTTAAAACTGGACAATTATCTATATAGACTATATTTAATGATTAAGTAATTTAACGTATTATAGTATTTTTAGAGATTATGTAATTTATACTATATTTAGGGATTTAGACCTATTAGATTTGGTATGATATACTATAGAATATCAGGATTCATTTTTTGTACATTCAAAATAACTCATATTAGATACTCCATATATACAGGTTAAAAACAGACCCAACATAGGTAAAAACTTTATTAATTTTTTTCTATAAAAAATATATATATTCATAAATATATAACATATACGCTTTTATTATGAATTAGATAATGGGTCTTCCACTCTTAATCCATGTCTAGCACATGACAAATCTAGAAATAATCGTTATAATTAATTTTTATTTATATTTAAGATCTAATATTATGTATGTATTTTCTTACTAATACATCCTCTTCTACGATCTGAAGGTTGTAGAGGGATTTGTATCTGCTCTGCCTTCGGTTTAAAAAGATGTATCTGGCAGTTCAACTTGCAAGCATCTTCAAGATTTTGATGCCGCATTGGTCTAGAAACAACATTACCTTTTGCATCTCTCTCTATACTGGTTTTAAGGTCATCATATACAGAAGAAAAGTCCTGCAAATGATGAAAGAAGGAGCTATGCACAAAATACACGACACTGTGACGAATTTTCTTCATGACAGGAAAATTACCATAGAGAAGAAGGCGCGAAGAAAACACTATAACTTGCTCAAGATGAAGTGGAGCAATTATTTTTAACTGGGGAAAGCAGAGTTCACCTCCGTTAAAATCACCAAGAGCAATGAAACAACAAAGACTATTTGGCTCATCATTTTCATCTCAATGATAGTCACTTATAGTATTATAATTAATGGCTATCATCAGGAAAACCCCGAATGATCTAGGTACAAATAGATCCCATCTTAACATACTTAATTTTTCATACAGGTTTCTGACATATTTTTGAAAAAATTGATTAATACAGTTCGACAAAGGGACAAGGTCACTCAGTAATTTATTAACACATTTCAAATGCTCTATATTGTGGCTACTCGTGGTATTCAAACTTATATAGGGAAGGAGGTTATTCAATGTAAATATACCAAAATGTTCAATAAAATTTTTCCAAAAACTTTCGCTTCGATGAGATGGATGAGCTAATGTATAAAAATAATAATAATCAATAGCCTCAGTCGCTTTATTTATAGCATCTAAATTTTCAATTAAATTTAAGTGGAGTAAAGTCTGGTCATTTTTATCTACAACACACTCTGGATTTATTATATAATGAAATCTAACTAATCCTTTAATGGTTTTTAAATTACATACTAACATAAGTATACGATTTTTTTCTTTTTTTGTAATACGTGGAGTTGTTAGTACGGATGATTCCTCATTACTATGAAGATGCAAAGCATACTTTAGTTTTTGCCACTCAATCAGAGATGTTGTCTTACTTCTCTTCTTTTAATTTTTCCCTCAAACCCAAGCTATTTTCTTAATACAATCCACACATGCTTTTCTGATTTAGAAAGGTTAGACTCGCAAGTATCTTTATTATACAAATTATTAAGATTAATAATATCTTTATTTACTATTACAAGAAAGTCAGTGGGTATTTCAAACGACTCAGAGGCATTATTATTATTATTTATTTTTGCTTCACAGATAAGGGTCTCGAGCAACAAGTCCATCGTGGAGATTTCATGCAGGGCCTTGATATTTTTGGTCAATACGCGGTCAGAAGGACAGAGGGAGACATTTATCCACTTCTTTTTAATATAATGTATTTTATCCTTGATGCACAGTTCACGGGTTGCTTGCTGGGTATGATGCTAATAATGTTACTGAAAGATTATTAGATTATGAAGAAATGAATAAAAAAATAAGCAGTGTATAGGTTATTTTTGCAGACTGAACAAAACACCCTTATCTAAGTACTGAGCCACCTAATGGTAATTATGAGCCCATTGAGTCTCACAACATATGTTAGTCAGAGGCCCTAGTTGCTATTGCAACAATTTTTTGCATGACTAAGTATACACGTACAAATAACTTAGGTAATTGTTCTATCAACACAAAGACTAAACACTAGCAGTATATAATGAGTTAAAAGTATATACGCAGTTCGGGTCAAAAAGAACATTATTTATAGACGATAGTGTGGGCATATTATGGGCTACTGGCAAAGTTGAGCTTGGTTCCTTCTCCAGCTTACATTTTTTATTATAGCGACTATGGCGTGACATTCTTTTTACTGGTATTTATAGAAGCAGAAAAAATGTTCTTAATATTTACTCACAGATGGGTAAAACAATACTATTCACGAGCTATTAGGGTTTAGAACCTCAGAGCCGATGTCCTACTCAAGAAGAATGGTAATTATTTTGCAGAATAAAATAGAGAAGGAACTAGTGTTTTGTTATTTCTGATAAGCGTTTGATTAAATTTGAGATTATGGGGGTAAGTATATATAAAAAATCAATTATATATTCCTACATACAACAAAAATTTTGGGATGATTCCAAAATAAGATATCTATGTACATACGTACTCCTAAAGGAATCGAAGTATAGAATTCCAGTTTAAGGATAAATTGTGTATTTTTTTAGTATAAGACCGCAGAATATAATCAGAAAAAAGATATGACCTACAAAAATCTATG